TTTTATTTTGATCGGTGTCCGAGGGCTCTTTTCTCGAACAGTAGGTGCGATACCTGTTCTTTTCTTTCTTTCGATCATTTTGTTTTCTTTTTCCGAGTGGTTTGTATCCTATTTTTGTTTTTTGTTTTCTCGCGGCGTCGTATGTGCCGGGTTTTGAGACCACGGGCTCCCCATTTTTTGTGGACTATAGAGCTAATGTGAGAAACAACAACAAACAACAACTAGTAGTTTGATGCACATACACGAACAAACAAATTGTAAAGTCTTCCCGCGGTGCGGACGCAAACAACCACACGCGTACGTACATCTGACCACACACGTACGTACATCTGGGCATCTGGAAGAAGCATACATGCGGCACCCCCCTGGCGGCGAGCGTGTCACACATGACATCAGACCGTCGAGGAACACGACCAGCAGCGTAGACATAGGATTGTGACACGACAGATGGCAAATATTCCGTCAGGCTCACAACTTGCCCGCCACATTCGTCTTAAGCCTTCCGAGTTTCCCGCCCGAGTGAAAGCAAGCAATCCAGCGTGAGCCGAAAACAAAAAGCAACCGTTTGATGGACATATGACGTCATGACTTTGATGCGAGAGGCCGAGAGGCCCTGCAGGGCTGCGCCAGCAACAACAGCATGCAGTGCACGGCCTTCTTTGCGAATACAGTCAGTAGCCCGGCGCTCGTACGCAATCTTAACCGATCCCGCGGGGAACCATTCTGACAAAACACACAGCAGCAGCAGCAGTAGACCCTCACCCCCTCGACGGATTCTCTCGATGATGGCAGGTGTGATCTGGACTTCGGAAGGTGTTATATGTTGTTGTTGTCAGTACATGACTGACCTGTTCAGAAATTCAAAAAATATATATACAACATCGAACGGGTAGTCTTTTTGTGTTGTTGTTGTTTGTCTTCACATTAAACCGTATGTCAGTTGCTAAATGCCAAAATCTAGCAAAAGACTCTCAGCCCGTGGTCACGAAGGTGCTAGAGCCATCTGAGGATCTAAAGAACACGCACACATCTGACGAGAAAAAGGTATGCAAGAGCCCGAGGAGGTACACCTAAAAATCCCTGCAGCACCGTATGCGTGCCCAAAAACTGAACTGCACGTCCGTCCCACCGTTCGACTACAGTAGCATCACCCCCTCCCTGTCCCACTCTATACCAAAACGGAAGATTGCCGACTACAGCATAATGCTGTCTGAAGTGCTGTCTGTACAAAAACAC